GGAAAAAGAAGCAGAAGCCTCCAGGACCCTCTGGTCGGGAAGGACTTTTCCCCAGCTCTCTACTGTTTCCTGTGGGCTACTGGGAGGCACAGGGGGGGCAAGAAGCTTCTCCTCTGCAGAACTGTAACTTCTGTGAGTTCCCTCACTTTTCCACTGCGTGATGCTCCCGATGCCTAGGAGCTCCCATTTCTTCCTCTTCCCTAACCTCCCCTTTGAAAACAAAATCATTCACACAGTGACGATGAATTAATTGTGTTGCTGCAGGAACAGCTCTCAGGCATCAGAAATCAGGAAGTGAGAGAACTGAAGCTGTTCATTCAACTTTAATTAAGTCCCAGAGTAAAATATATTACAATAGTCTTTACTCTTCATTAACACAGCCTTGGGCTAACTCTCACACAATCTAGCCAGTACATTTTTTCCAACAATGCATTTTACAGATGAGGCTGGTATTACTACCTATTGCTAAGACTGCCCCATACCTCTCTGACACCCTGTTTTCAGTTGCTTCTCTCTCTCTCAAGCTTTAACATGTGGGATGAAATTTTCCAGTCCTGGGCCCTTTCGCATTTTTCCAATGCAAAAGTCATGGAGAAAGTTTCTACCAAAATATTTCTTCCATTTCCAAATAGCTGGCTAATGAAAACCACATTATTTTGCCAAAGTTAAGAATTTTGGCCACCTTTGGTTGTGCTGAGACTTCAAAGTTTGCAAGAGACAGACTTGGAGTTAAGGCCACCTCTGCCACAGCAATGGAAATATCTTGAAAAAATGACAGCACCTCTAACTTCCAGAAAGACTTAAATTTTTTAGCAATTAAATTATCCAGAAGCTCCTTTTGTTCTGAGTATGCTCTGACTTGGGGGCCGAATGAGACTCTCCTCTGCAGTCTGTGCTGCTGTGGGCTGAGACCAGGAGCAAAGGGAAGGAAGCACATCTCTATCAAGCGCCAACAGACTCTTGGAGAGGAGATGTGACCAGTAAAATGTTAAGAGTTCTCTGTTATTTGGGAAGAGTGATTTTTATTTTTTTTCTAAAGGCATACAAGCTCAGCCAGATCTGGGTTTTCACCAGGACGTTAAAAAGCACATTGCTGACAAAAATCCATCCGCTAAATTTCAAAGAAAAGGCGTGAAAAAATTTTAAATGCGAAAAACAACATCTTTTTTTGTTCTAACTACTTAGGAACTATTAAGCTGTTTTGGCAGGTGTTTTCGCTCAGACTGAAACAATCAGGATAGAAAAAATCAGCATGAGAGATAAGGTTTGTCCAATCTGCAAGATGCTGCAAAAGGGCCTTACATTAAGAAGCACCTGGATGCCTGAGAAAACTTCAGTATCTCCTATAATAAAGAATATAAACTTTAAGTATGTATCAACAAATAATCAAATTAAGAGAACAGTGAAAAACTCCCAAGACAGCAAAAAAAGCCACGTATTCCCTCCTCAAATGTCATTGTGTGTAATATGCTCACAACATTCTTGGAAAATCAGTTAACATGGGCTCTATCATACCAAGGAGAAAGAAAATTCCACCAGAAGGACACCCTACTGTGACTTTTCTTCTGTCCCTAGGCGCCTTCACAAACATCCCCAGTACAGACTGAGCATAGGAAAAGTCAGCTGGGATCCCAATTCAAGCAGGACTTCACAGGTGAAGCAGAAAGGCACCAGCCAGCAACAAGAAACACATGGAGAGGTGCAGCAGGAAAACCCGTGGGTGTAATCCCTACCACAAGGAGTGGTCATGCAAGTGAGTAGCTGCACCTAGCCTTGCGGGACCTTCTGAACACGACCCCATGCAGCATGAACTGCAATAACCCAACTGAAAGGTGACTAAGGAACAGATTACTGCAGCAAGGGCTGCATCAGAAAGGGATGCTCAAAATCTCTTTGCTGGCAAAAGTGACAGGTGAAGGAGGGAAACGCTCTTCCCTGCGACCAGGAAATGGAGGCACAGCTAAGTATCTTGCAAAGTCCCAGTGACGTAGCCCTTGTGGCCCACGTGTTGAGCTTGCTTGCCCTCACCTAAGAGCTGATTATTGTCAGCACCATGCTCACTGCTACCCAAACCTCTTGTCCATGCTGAAAAAGAGCAAGAAGGGAAAAGATCCTTCTGACTGCACAGGAGAACACTATGAACAACTTCCCGGCATCTCCAGAAAGACAGAACCTAGCCATGATTGATCAAAACCCACCAAACACCTCAAATACAAATACACTGGCAAGGGCTACCTTGGCATCTCCCTTCTGAAAAGTGCTAAAATACTGTAGAAACAGTATCAGAAGATTAACTGGAGCTTATGGATATGGAGAACATGGTCTAGTGATGGGAAGACTGCATCGTTAATCAGATAGCACAGGAACAAAGCGGTGAGCTCTGCTGAGGATAACTGTTCTAGGTCTGGACTTTGGTGGTACCTGAGCACCACTTGCTTCTGTCTTCAAAAAGGACTTCCAAATGACTACCCAGTGATTTCTGTGGGCAGTGATGTGCTTCACAGTAGCAGAAGCAGGCACCGACCTCGTGAAAGCTTCCCTTAAACTTTTGAATTATTCTCTTCTCCTGCACTCTGCAAGCCTCCCTTTCCCTCCCCTGACACCATAAGGGCTATTCGTGTTTCAGTTCCTCACCCCACGCTGTCATTTCCACAGTCTCATTATCCTTGTCCAGCTGACTACCAAGTTGGTCCGTCAGGCTGTAATTTCTAGAACTGCAGTACAAGAAGCTCACAGACAACGATGGTTACAGAAATTCTCATCCCCACCTCCTGCCCTGTGCTACAGTGCTCAGCTCTCCAAGCTGTTTGTGAGGCTGTTCTTGGAAATCTATCAGTGAACTGATCTGGCTTAGAAACCAAACAAGCCCTTCTGACCCCCCAACTCCAAAACAGCAAGTGGTCCTTCTCCACTTCTTTAAGCTGGATCAGTACCAGGACAGGTTTGAGACACAAGGATATGAACCGTTGTATGGGCATAAATGAGCAAAAACAAGCATGAAAATGAGGAGCAGCCAAGCAGGAACAAGTTCATCTGTCATCGCCATATAAGAAGGAAAATCACAGCAGTGGGGCACCACCCTTTGAGACACTCCATGAAGTTAAGACACAGAGTTATACAGGAAGCTTTTAAAGGCTAGCATCGTTTTTCTTATTCTGTGGATATTCACAACCTTGTCTGAAAACAGCACCTTTGCTAACAAGATGTTAGTCTCCCTCTAAATCCTTGTTCTTCCTCCGCCTGGTTTCTCATGTCCTTCTCATGTCTGCCCACTTGTCTCAAGAGTCCTCCCAGACACCTGCTGGATGCAGCATCCATAACTCAACATGTTACATCCAGTCAGACAAACCCCCAAGGAGAAAATTTCATTCACCCAGCAACTGCCAATATCAGTACCAGTAACAGGTAATTCTTGTTATCCACAGAGGTGAAGTAAACATAATGTATTTACCCAGTCTAAATGTAGCAACTGTAAGAAGCAGCTTTGTGCAATGCTGGTACCAGGCCATGCAGTCTGAATTGATACACAAGATGCTTCTTCTTGCACACTCCTGCTGCTTACTGTAATGTATCACCACTCTGTTTCTCCACTTACAAAACAGACACAAAAGAGCAACCACCTGTATAAAAATTTTTAATTTACACTTGAAATAAATGTATGTTAAATTTCTGCAGCTACTTGATTTACTTTACAAGAATTCAGAACTGCAAATGTTCCTTTTTCTGCACAAAAACCAGTTCCAGTCAAAAGAAATGGGTAATCCCAGAACTGCACTTGAATATTAGGACCAACAGGATTGAAAGAAAAACAGAAATATCAAAACTCTTCCCTTTTTGTTAAACTGGACTATTCCTTTTCAACCAAAATGCAAAATATTTGCTAGAAAAAACCTATCTTCTCTTGACAATGTTATCACAGATCCAATAACTGCACAGCGTATCTACTCTGCAAACTAAAAGCAATAAAAAGTTTCATAGTTAGCACATGTTAAGGATCAGACATTGAAAACTGACTCTTCTACGGCAAAAAAGCGTATTATCTTATTAGTGGCCTACAATTCAGAAAGCCTCACTCATTTTCCTTCCTTTTCAGTGAATTTTATCACTGCAAAACAAGTCAGCTTTGCAAGAGATGAAACTCCTGTTTATCCACAGACCAAAAGTTTTGGATTTGGAGGAGCGTAAGGTCTCCTTGCAGTGCCCCACCAACACGCACAGCAGGAGAGGCACCGCCCCTTGGGGAAGGCACCCTGAGTGCTCCTTTCAGTCCTCCCAGCTTTCTGCTGAGACTGCCACACAGAGCTGCCAGGTCTGGGTTTTTCTGATGTCCCACCTAGCAGCTGACCCCAGACCAGAATACTCACTTTTGAGTGAGTTTGAGCACCACTGAAATGCCATCAGACTCACCTCTCCTACTGATGATGGAACTTTCTGACAAGCCAAGAAACAGCCTTCGTGGGGTGAGCTTCGTGGGGCTTAGTGAAGTCATAAATAAAACCCCAGACAGCCTGGGTTGCACCTGCCTCACACTGTGCCAGTACCACAGGATGAGCTCACTATTCACTTCCTTCCAGGATTTTCAGATGATACCTCAATGAAGAGCAGTTTCAAGGCTGCAAACACAGGACCAGCGCACATACTGGTTTACCTTATGCCCCAGGAGATGCTGTCTGCCTGCTTGCACCACCGCCTGGGGCAGTACCCAAGGCAGCTCCCCGCTACAGCGTGCCTGACCCATCAGCCAGGGCAGGCAGAGCAGGGTCTCCCCACCAAGCTGCTGAATAAAGCGTGAAGGAAAATTGATCCCAGGAGGCCAAGGAGCTTTGGACATTCAAAGCACCGTGACCAAGGTGCCAGGTCCACACGGGCAACCCGCTCGCTCTGGGAGCACCCACTTCCTTTGGTCCACTGAGCTTTCAGGATCAGGCCATGTGATGATGGCCCGGTTCTCCACCAACGCTCTCAGAAATGAAAGAAGAAGAGGAATGCAGGACACTCACCACATCTGTGTTTGTGATCTTGGCCAGGAGGTCTGTGAGGCTGTCCCCGTCATCAAGCTGAAGGCCACAGATGGCTGCTCCCACACTTCCAGTTGCTATCATTGATGGTGGGTACATGGCAAAGTTAAAATCTGCAAGAACAGATCTGGGAATTAGTCCAAGCCCAGACCAGAAAAGCTGTAAAACATCAGAGGCAAGCAACACAAAAAAACCACACCCAAGAATAAAAAATAGGCAAGTAGAAGAAAGGGAAAAGTGCCACTCTTTGGTCCAGCAGAGCTCATTAGTCACACTGCTCATCACAAGCAGTCAAAGGAGTGGTAACAGATCTGCAAATTAAAATGGAAATGCAGTTTGGTCTTTTATTCTCACTGATGCATAAAGTAAACCTGGACAATTTTTAATAGTCTTTCCTTAGTTTTAAAGAAAAGGAAAGAGAAGAAGGAGGCTTTCTGTAAATTATGTCAGAAATTTGGGACTTGGTCACATTAGAGCTCTCTGTATAACTGGAAAACTAACTGGAATAAGGTAACACAAAGGACCAAACTGAGATTTTTAGTCATGTCAGTTTTTAAAGACTTTAATTAACTCGACCATTTAAAGACCTGTCCAGGAAAAGGATTTTAATTAACGGTTCATCTTTACTACCTCTGCAATTAGGAAGTAAGAACACTTACAGCCCAGAGCTATGTAATCAAAGAAAAAAACAAAGATCACATTTGTCATTACTACTATTTCTTAATAAACAAGTTTTGAAACTTCCTCTCACACATCTGTGGAGATCAGGAGAGAAATTAAAATAAAACTAAATGTTCTTTTGACATTTATTAGGCAGTTTCACGGTTTATGATACTGCCATAGGCACTGGTTTATTGTCATGCCTCACTAAATACCACTTCCAGAAGATCTTCTAGGTTACCGATATCTTCCTAAAATGAAACTTTGTTTACAAGTTCTTCAGGGTTCAACAATAACTCATTAACAAACCCTTCTCTTCCAGTTTTCAGTTGGGGGGACTGGAAGAGGAAACCCAAGTTAATACTGAATATGAAATAAAACACAATCAATATACTCGGTCTATTTATAGAAACAGATTGTTACAGGAAACTGCCCTTCTGTTAAGGGCAGATCCCAAGTCCTCTCTGTTCAGCTAGCACAAATTCTGTAACCCTGTGGATGTCTGCATAACTCCTCAAGTTTTAGACACATCCAGAGTTATTCTCAGCCTCCCAGACTCTGAGCTGCAATAGCTCTGAGGATGGCACTTTATTCTCCAGGCTGGAGTATGTCCCTGGGACCCACAAGGAACGAAGAATGGGACTCAGGTCATAACATTCATCCAGATGGACTGAAGGGGGGGATGTTAGAAGTGGGGAGAGAAAAGGGAGGAGCTGAAACCCCGACATGGATTTATCTGTCTCACAAAGCCAGTAGGAGGTGGCCACCTGCAAGCCCACCACTGCACGCTGCTGAAGCCCACTGTCCTTCCTACCAGGGGAGCTCAGCAGACATTATACTCTGACAAACACTTCTGAAGGAGTAAATTCCCACCAACTTAAGCAGTGAATATGGACTGACATTATAATAAAAATATTAATTAAGCACTATTGCAATGGTAAGAACCCACTGAGGAAAGCTGATGATCTTCGATATTAAGTTATATTGCTGCCACAAGTCAACAGGAGAACCTTGATTCCTACTTATCAGTGAGGATGCTGATCTCAGCACATGTTGAAGGTAACAGGAATTGCACTTTCATGATCAAACTCGCTTTCACATTTACCTCACATAGATTTATACACACACATGCAAGGGCTAGATCCATCCAGCCTCTAAATGGATGACCAGGGAAAATAGATAAGGTTATCTAACACATAGCACGTGCACTCCCCATAGAGTCCATCCCATCCCCAGTGCCTCAGCCTGTGGTTGCACTTATCATTGGGCCAGACCTCGAGAGGTCATAAATACAGTCGGATTTTAAGCCCTTGAAATAGCCTTCTTTTTATGCCTTTTTGCCTCTCTTCTTACTCATTGCTACTGATGGGAAGGCCCAGGACTTGGGTCTGGGTGACTGTTGCAGTGGCTTGTTCCTGTGGGTTGATCTGGTAGCTAATGGCTCCATGGAAGAAGCGTGATTGCTGGGCCACCAGCTTACAAAGTCCAATATGAAAAGCGGGAATGGTTAAACGATTCCAATAATCAGAGGTTTTATAAAGGCTGCAAATGCTTATGTGCTTGCGTGACTGTCCAGAGTCTCCTCCTGGTCCACGGAGCAAATAATAAACATCTATAAAATGTAAGAATGTTCAAACATTTATGGAATCATAGAATCATAGCATCATCTGAGATCTAAAGACCTCTAAGATCATCAAATCCAACCATCTACCTAATACCACCACACCCACTAAACCATGTCTATAAGCACTACATCAACACGTTTTTTGAACACCTCTAGGGACGGTGACTCCACCACCTCCCTGGGCAGCCTGTTCCAATGTTTGACCACTCTTTCAGTAAAGAAATTTTTCCTAATGTCCAATCTGGAAAAGGCCTACTGTCCCCAAAATCTGCTCTCACAAGAGTGATTCATCAGCAATCCCACTAATTTCTTTAGAAAACAGGTAAGTCAAGGCAGACTACATGTCCATGGGACTGTTTCTGCTCTTGTACACACTGCATTTGCTTGGGTTTGCAAATCCCATGTGCTTGCCTTCGTGTGAATGAGGCTGTACTTGGCCAACAGGGCCCTAAATTGGAAAGCAACTCCCGCATTTAATCTTTGGACTTACCAAACTGTCTCCTAGTTATGCATGGGAACTATGGGTAACAATGGACTTTCTATAATTTACCCCTCCTGGTCACAAGTTTTGGGGAAGATGTAGTAAAAAGATAACGTGAATCATCCCAAACTGCCAGCATTTAGACAGTCCCTACGGAAGCTATGATGCAGTGTGTGAAGAACCTAATCCCACCCCCTCCCACCCAGCATTTGATCCAGCAGAAGGGAAAAATGGACCTATTTAGAGGCCCAGATGCACCCACTGGGTCCCCATGGAGCAGCTTCACCCAGCCCTGAGCAGCTAGTGGGAACACCCAAGCAACAAGGAGCTCCCATGTCTGGCACTCAGCACCAGCTAGGCACAGCGAGCTGAACGAAGGACACAGCTCCAGACTGCCCTCTGAACTTCCTTGCCTCCTAGGGGCTTGCATCAAGACCTTCCCACTATCTGAACGCTCATTTTCTCATGGTTGATTTTATATCTGCTCCCAGGAACCGTCTTCCTAGGAAGTGGAATAAAGAGCCACAGTGCCCCTGCCAACTAGCACTGCTGTAGGTCTGCTTCCACGTGGGGTCACATGAGAACATTTCTATGCCCAATAACCTTGTTAGTTCCCTTAATGTCATTCATAATGCAAATGAGACAGCGAGCGAATGGCCAGAGGCCCAGAGTGACTAAAGCTCAGCATCCAGAAAGACTTACATTGCCTCTAGCTCTAAACTAACTTCCCTCCATAACAAGCACCATAAACTTGGCTATCAAAGCTACACATGCCCAGTCTTTGTTGTACAACAGGCAGCGATTTGTATCACTGGCTTCTATTTTTAGCATATTAATTAACTACTGCAACTGGTGAGGCAAGTGTCTCCAACTGGAGAGTGTGGCGCCATTGTCTGAAGTCATCACCTCATCTCGCGCTATTGAAAATCATGGCAGTGACCCTCCTGCTGATATGAATTTAACCTGACATGCCCACAAAGGGATGGGGGGTGGTGCACCAATTTTGTGCACATGGTTCTCCGCATCACCCTGGACCCTATTAGTGTGGAAAGAGCTCATTGAAAGAAAAGAAGCCACATTGTGCTGGGCCACCTAGAGGGTTGAATAGAAAAGGCTGAGGAAAAGAGCAGGCAGCAGAATAAAGGCCGTAATTAACATATTTCCATATTCAAGCAAAGCAATAACTACGTGAAATGTTTGTCAAGGTGCAATGAAAGCATAAATATTAAGTACCGTATCTGAGAGGATGCAGAACCCCCCTCCAACTCTTACATTCCATCGAGAAATTCAAGACAAGCTTTTTACATGTTATTTTCCATTCTAAACCTTTATCCCCACTTCCCCCATGACAACAAGCCAAGTCCTGCCATCCTCACTCACTTTTCATGCAGGTAAAACTGCCCGCAGAATTCAGTCAAAAGTTTGCCCTGAGATTAAAAAAATATCAAAATAAAAGGGGGAGAGAGAGGACCTAAACATGTGAAGCTGAAACATATGCTTTTACTTTAAATTCTTGCTGGAGATTATGAACCCTGAATTACAGAGGGACTCTTATAAAAAGTACTTATTGGACACCTGAAGCAAGGCTATGGGCTAAATCCTTCTTTTGGACCTATGTGCAACCTCGGTTAATGGGTACCCAGAGCCTGCACTGAAGGCATGGTGTCGTGTACCTTTGTCGTGATTTATGCAATTTCGCAGGAAAGAACAAAAGAGTCTCGTGAAAAGTCACAGGAGTAGCGCAACAACGTGTAGTCTACGAGAATCTGAGCACACGAACACTTCAAGGGAAGATACTGGGCTGTTAGAAAGCAGGACTTGTTTTACCTTCTACTCCCAGGCAATAAACACCAGAAACCGTCCCATCCCCACTTCGGTATCACCTTTTTCCTAAAGGACCTTAAAAACAAGGGACTAACCTTGCACAACTCCACTGACTTCTGTGTTGGAAATAAAAAAAGCCGATACAAGAAACAGTGCCCTTTGAAACACAGACACCTCTGGACCAGTCAGCCGGAGTCATCAAGTAAATTCAGGGTACCCTGGATCCACACCCTGCTTTCAGACTGGAGCTCACACAGCCAGGGCATGAACGCCTGCACGTGCCAAGGACATTTTTCTGCCTGTGCGGCACACGTAATCCATGGTCAGGTTCTAGGACTCTGCACTGGGGCCAAGCTGTTTTGCTGGCTCCCTTCCGATCCAGTGGACTTCACTACCTCCGAGCCAGGAAAATGCAAGGTTGACAGTCAGTCTAAAGCAGGCGGGAACTGGAGGCAGGAACCCAGAGAGGTCCTGCAAGGGGAAGCCCTAACTCGCAGCCAATAACTGAAAACTGCCGGAAGGAA